TAGTCATCGCCTTCCTCGACAATGGGCAATGTTAGCTGACATAGGGCCAGGCTGGAAAAGAGCTAGCGGCGGTCAAACCAAAACATGGTACCAGTCAATGAAATCCACAAGTTAGTCTAAGCCACGTAGGAAGATGTAGACTTCCTGGTTGGGGTCCTCGGGACGGTAAAAACCAATGGTTGGAAACAATTGGTGACATGGCTCAAAATCATTCTCAGTGGCGCAGATGCATCCACTCCTTGTGACTCATGATTTCCAATTAAACTCTATTGTTCTTCGTTACTACTATTCCTTTGTCTCTCACCTCTGTTTACCGTCTATACTATGCATTTTTCTACTTTCTTCTCTTGTTTTGTGTGCAACATGGAGTGTGGCGACTTGAACTGCCGCACATATGTGCAAAGTTCTATGTCGAAAACCGACCGACCGACCGATATCACCTAACGACGGTGTTTTCGGTGGCTTCAACACGTGCTACAAATGCTGTCCTGATGGCTTCTATACCATTCACTGTCTCACAGTCTTGGGACTGAAAGCGAAACGAGAAGAGGTGGTCAGTCTAGGACGTGGTGCCGTAGAGAGAAAGATAGTTCGTGTGTTGCGTTATCATTCATTTGGGTGCGATCCAAGACGTCATAGTAATCCATCCATCCCATCATGTTACTTCTTATTATTTACTCCACTGATGTAATTTAATGTGGCAACAACGACTTATGCGAATAGGCCAGGTTCTATAAGACGATAATACGCTCATCCCGCCATAGTAGACTTATCAAATTAGTATATGTGCCATGATTACTTCCCTACCCAAGGCTGCTCACATACTTGGAATAAGAACCCATTCAATGATAACACAAAACTGATAAATACTTTTAAACCTACCGTAATTTGATCATTCAAGCATTCACCAACATCAATTAGATCCTTCAATAGGCTAGACATCATTTCAGTATATTTCTTCTTCTGATTTTGATGTGTATCCTTCAACTGTGACAATTCACCGTCTTTACTATGCATTAAACGGGTTTGTTGTAGTAAGGACTCTTGAGCCTCTTCAAGTTCTTTCGCTTTTGCATCAATCTCTTGAGCCTTTTGGTCATAATTCATTGCTAATTCTTCTAAGGCTTGCAGGACTTCCTTCACTTCATCTTTGCTCGACTGGTATTCAGCCTTGACACACACACACAATGAGTGAAGAAAAAGATCCATTTAGAGGAAACATCTCACAAAAATAACAAAACTGTCAGCATAATAATTCTATCAATACAATACTATGTGAGTTATGTAGACTTCGCTAAGTATTTTTCCTACAGAGCAGACGGGGTGAGGAGGGAGAGAGGATGCAGTAAGGAAGAAACTGGATAACTGACACCACCTAGAATAGAGAGATTAGTGGATAGGCAAAACCAAGTTGCTGGTTGTCAAAAACGAGTGGCAGTCATCATGTGCTTTAGAAAGAAGAGGGAAATAACTTCAGTACTCTAATACTTGCCGATTCATCATAATTATGAAACGGTTAGACTTAAGACAAACACCTACCCTTCAGTCTGAAAGTTTCCACAATGTCTTTCCACATTTCATCTATTTATATTTATTATTATTATTTCCTTTAATTCCTAGAGGAACATAGGGCTTCAGCCATGCGTCTCCATTGCGTTCGGTTCTCTGCTGTAGTTTTCACCTGGCTCCAAGTCTGCCCACACGCTTTCAATTCCTCTTCACATGATCTCCTCCAGGTCACCCTTGGACGACCAACTCGTCGCTTCCCTTTCGGGTTCCACTCGAGGGCTTGTCTAGTGATGTCACTTGCTGGTTTCCTCAGAGTGTGTCCAATCCATCTCCATTTCTTTCTGCCTATTTGTTTCACGATCGGTTCCTGGTTGGTTCGCTCCCAGAGATCTTTGTTGCTGATCCTCTCCGGCCATTTGATCTTGAGTATTGAGCGAAGGCATTTGTTAATGAAGGTCTGTAACTTGTTTGAGCTGCTCTTTGTGACACGCCAAGTCTCTGATCCGTATAGTAGTACTGACTTCACATTGGAGTTGAAAATACGGATCTTATTTTTGACGCTGAATGCTGTTGACCTCCACATAGACTTGAGAGAAATGAAAACTTGTCTTGCTTTCCCGATTCTGGCTTTGATATCCTCGTCAGTTCCTCCTGTAGTTGAGACGATGCTTCCCAGGTAGGTGAAAGAAGTTGTTTCCTTCAGGTTCCTCCCATTTATGCTGATTGTTGTCGGTTGTTGCTGTTGATGTTGGCCAGGAATCTTCATTACCTCTGTTTTGTCTATGTTCACTTGAAGTCCTATCTTTGCTGCTTCTTCTGCCAATTTGTTGCTTTTCACTTGCATATCTTCCAGTTTGTGGGAAATCAGACATATATCATCGGCGAAATCCAAATCCTCCAAGGCTTTTGTGTCGGTCCATTTTATGCCTGTTCCCTCGTTGGTTGCCGTTGTCTGCCGCATTATCCAATCAACTGCAATCAGGAAGATCATTGGTGACAGTAGACAGCCTTGTCTCACTCCCGTCCTCACTTCGAAGGATTCCGTGAGCCTCCCGTTGTGGATTACTTGGCATGCAGCGTTGTTATACAGCTGTTGGATGAGATGTATAATTGTCGGCGGCACCCCGTAGTAGCAAAGTAGTTGCCAAATCACCTCTCGATCGACGCTGTCGAAGGCTTTCTCAAAATCGATGAAGTTGAGATAGAGAGGTGACTGCCATTCCAAACTTTGTTCAATGATAATCCGTAGGGTGGCGATTTGGTCAATGCATGACTTGTTCCTCCTGAATCCGGCCTGTTCCGGACGAAGTTTTTCATCTAGGGCTTGTTTAATTCTCTCCAGGATGATGCGACATAGTATCTTGTTTTAAGACATTAGGCAAAATCCAAGTTGCTGGTTGTCAAAAACGAGTGGCAGTCATCATGTGCTTTAGAAAGAAGAGGGAAATAACTTCAGTACTCTAATACTTGCCGATTCATCATAATTATGAAACGTTTAGACTTAAGACAACACCTACCCTTCAGTCTGAAAGTTTCCACAATGTCTTTCCACATTTCATCTATTTATAGCCTTTCCCAATTTAGTGTGTAAGAACCACGTGAGTTCAGTAATTTCACTCATCCACTATGAATGATGAAAACTCATGCCTACACCATCATCATCTTTACCAGTGAAATCAAACCACAGTTATTCTACTACTTCTACTACTCTTACCACTGTTACTGTTACTACTGCTTGAAAGTTCACCAGAATAAGCAAACAAAATAACATGCACTCTGAGGAGAAAGAAAGCACTTTAAACCAGTTTACATGAAAACACAGGAGAGATTCACTGCAAAAATAATTTCTAAAAAACCTCTTGACAATATGACAGGAAAACACTATTATATCATTAACTAATATCAAACACCACTTTAACAAGAAGCTCATCTGAAACAACAGTCACAAGAACATATATGCCCATCACATAGTATTCACATTCAATGAAAAACAAGAATGCAACTGGGGCTCATACATTTTTATGCACTCACTCCACTACCAGTCAATGGGTAACGCGCTAAGAACCTCACTTTTCCTACAGAGGGTTTGGGCAACCACTAACAAGGCACCAGTGGTACGATTAGTGCTCACATACAATAGGTGTGACTCATCGACAACTTCGTCGAAATCCAAGTGGTCATTGAATCTTGCCTTCTCTCAACCTCCACCCACCGCCTTCTACTCTCCAATGAAAAGCAACACAACGGACCTCAGAAAATCTACCAAATGATAAAAGCAGTTAATTATAACGGCTAAAATGTATCACCTTTCAATACACTTCCATGGATATATAAATTTATATAAAGTTCATAACATGTATTACCACTTACCTGAAGAGTTGTAATTTCTTTTAATTGTCCCTCACGTTCTATACGCAAAGAATTGTTCACCACGTCTTGCTCTTCAATTTGCTGGCGAAGACGTGCAATTGTCTGAGCTTGCTTATTTATTTCATCATCTTTGTCGTCAAGTTGCTGATAAAGCAACTGTAACTGTTCATCTCCAACACTTCCTCCTGAAGCACCGATAGTTCCAAGATTGACATTACCGGAAGTGCGGGCTGAGAAAAAACAACACATGCTGATCAACATTCCATATAGTATTTATTATACAGAAAGAGCATGTAATGGTTTAAATAAAACAAAGCTATATCCAAAATTAACTGACAAAGCATCAAATACATTTTCATAACTTCACATACCAGAATAAAAAATTGACGTATATGACAACACAGTGCACAAAGGGAATACAACAGAATAACCACTTCTGAATTGTAACAACACGTTCTTGGTTGCCAAAATGCCATCAGTTCAGTCAGAAATACACACAAACAACAACCAATCAGTCAGTCAAATAGTTAAAACATTAATTAGTAAGCTTACTCGGTGAAGAAGATACTCCCTGTTTGAATTACAGATCAATGCATAGCTCCACACAGAAGTTTAAGTTTCCGTGCCGAGTCTCTAGTCAATGATTTTCACTATTCCAAGGACCTTCAGGTCAGTCAGGCTGTCTAAACACCCTCACATCTTCATACCAACAATCACTACACTGACAGAAGTGCACAATGGTCAATTCGAGACTTCCTTCAGTCATAAGCATCGATGAAAACTCATTAATCATGTACATGATGCTGTTACTAAGCTCAATAAGGTGATACTCACGTCAGTTTTGGGCTAAAAAGCTTGGTAGCAACGTTGCAGATGTCGGTGATGAGTAACGCATCATTGAAAATCACAGGCTTCCTCCGATGTTGACGGTATATCTTTCTGACGAGTACCAAGAGGTAACAGAATTAGTTGCAATGTCGAGTCACTACGCTTACTGACATCAATGTAAAAGAAACACCAATACGTCATTCATCAAACTAAATTAGGTACGGATAGTGATAGCGGGCGTTCTTAGTGCACGCACACAACTTTCCATATACCCTCAAAACAGCTGCATATACCTGAGTAGGGCTGCTGGAATAAACCAATATCATTCCTCAGTAAGTCGGATGAAGTCAAATTCTACGCTTAGGTCAAGAAATATGTCAAATACTGGACTCTAAAAAACAAGTTTGTTTTCAAAAACTGTTGAGCAGAGAGGACATGATAATACACCTTTGCCCAGAACTGCAGTCTGTGTGCTTGACTGTTTCATTTCCCCAAGTATCCTGGATGCAATATCAACCAGTCTGATCCCCTTTGATCAGCACAGGGGAAGCCTGGCCATCTACATAAATCTGATGAGACCATCTAAGACCCCCCCACATTGGCTAGAACACCACCAATTATCCCACTCCACTATTCATCACCCTCATCTTGAAACACCTGAGGAGCTACCCTGTCGGTAAGTTGACGCAATCCGCTTCGTCTTAGATCAGACAGCTTCTGCAACCCTAGCTACAGTTCTACCACCAATGTCTACATTGGGAAAACAAAGCTACCTAAAGTGCTAACTTCCTCACCAACTGAGAAGAAAAATATCACTACTTCATTACATTAACAAAACATAGTGGAGAAGGGAAGTTAGAAGTCACTAGATTCACCGACTTACACAAAACTCCTCAATAACATAAGGTGAAATATGAAATGAAAATAACACACAGTATTAACACAAAGTATTATGAAAGGACAATAACCAACAGGAGACGAAATAGACTACCTGGAGATGCATTTGTGAGGCCAGTAGATCGTGGTGTAGAAGTGGAGACGCTGTCTAGCATTGGTGTACTGGGGACACTGGGTGTAGTTATCGAATCTCTTGTATCGTCTATAGCACCAGCATATTGATTTTCCGTGAACCATTCAGCTTGACTAACAGTTTCACCTGAAATTTAACATATAACACAGATTATATGACAACAAAAACTACGTTCAATTCAACTTCTATATTCATGCACAATGTTCGCTGGAACTATTACACCTTTCCTCAGTCTATATACGTGAGTTCAATATGATAGGAGTGATTTCCTGTGACCGCATTGTCAATATACCAAAATAGGACATAATATTACTCCACTAGTGATCTTAACTGCAACATGCCATTTCTCCACATTAAATTATAACTCAATTTCCTACGACCGCCTTTATGAGTTACATTTGACAGATGACGACTGGTGACAATAGCCAGTTCCCTAGGCTAAAATAAGCAGAGCGGGCTTTCGACCTCCTCACCCATTAACTCAACTTTACATACTTAACACAATCAGCCATACATCAACGCACATCAAGCAGATAATTAGACAACAGGATGGAAATAATCTAATCGGTCGTAAAGCAGGATAAAACGAAGAAATAGATGATAATGTAAATAGAGAAATGAGCTATTATAACAAGGATAGGCACAAACCATGAATCCACTCCTATCATCACTGCGATCAATTCTGAACACTATCACCAGGAGTTTCTAGCCATAGGTTCTGATCGGCGTGAGGCTGATTCGCTTAAGCGCTCCATTTTTAGTCCATGGGTTCGGAATTTAAATCCTGTTAAATCAAACTCAACCTGTCCAACTTGGTAGCAACATTAATTTTCACAAAATATGTGTGGCTTACGACCCGATACACGAGAAATCTGCTCTGGGCAATATCTTACTTTCCCACTGTGCTATTCATTCACACTCCCATCCTTTACATTCTTTATTCCTACTCACTAAGATACAACTTTTAAAAAAATAAGTAAACATAACTATGATACAGAAACAGCTTAAACTGGTAATTCGTACTTATATAATTTTGAATCCTTAATTTTAAAATCTTCAAGTTAAACTTAAGCAGAAAACAGTCACAGTATTTCTTACCTGCTCGCCAACGTTTTAATTCACTCTCCAGATGACTTACAATATTGCGCAACTTCCTAACTTTCTCTCTTTCTCGCTCATACCTCCTACGCCATTCATCAGCCGTAAGTTCTTCGTTAACCGTTACCAGATTCTTGATGGTTTTAGCTCGCATACCGAACATTAGGGTGGACTTCGTCTCGGCATCATTGTACCCAGCAGGAGAACAACAAATCACCATAGTTGTTCGTGCATTACCTCCAAGAGATTCTTGAAGAATGCGAGTTAGTTTAGAGTCACGATAAGGAACATGAGACTGAAACAGAAAATTATTTAACAGATCAATAGCTTGATAAGGCAGTAGGAGTTATCTTCAAATAAGTACAACATATGCAGACAAGAGATTCAGGTCACCGTAGAGGCTAAAAATATGAGTTAGTGTGACGGATTTTCCTGCCTCAGAAACATACACAGTACAGAACTCTGCTAAAAAGTGAGCACATACAGACATACGTGATCAAAATACAACAATTCGATATCTCATGTCATTTTTTTTTATTCCTTTCCATTCCCAGTGGAACATAGGGCTTCAAGCTAGAGGTTTGAAGTTTCTGTAGCAGTGGTGTTGATTTTTACGGGGTGGTGTTGCTGGCGTCATGCCCAACCTTCCAGTTTTGTTGCTGCCTTAGCGAGGTAAAGGGGTGCGTCCGTGGCCGGGGATCGAACCCCGAAACACATGCGTGATTGGCGAGCATTCTACCACTTTGCTACCAACGCATATGCGTCATAATCACATGGAAATTCAAAGTCAACAGTGGCTAGAATACAAGCACTACTACCACCGCCACATGAAAGTATAAACTTACACTTCCTTCCACAAGTGCATTGATCACATTACCAAGAGCAGAAAGCGATTTGTTAATATTTTTGGCTTCGTCCAACACAGTACCTTCAGCGCCTGTCTTCGCAACTTTCTCACTACCAGCCAAATCAACAAGATAAAGTTTCCCATGTAGTTTCTTTTGAGTTTCCAAATTCTCTTGTCGAACATTGATCATGAATACTGAATGGCTCCGAGAACTGTGCTCATTCATGTCTACACATAGATAAAAAGTCACAAATTAAAAACGTAATATTAAACAACCTTAACATAGTTATAGGACATAGATTCTAAGATCACTTAAATTGCATATATAATCACGTAAGATTCCAGTAGAAACGGTAAGATCAAGTGATAAAGCTGACATATTTGGGAACCCTACTTCGACAAACAGTAGTCGGTCAAAGCAGGATAATACGACAACGATTATAATTTTATCTCCAGAGATGACAAACACTTTTGTGAAATAGCTATTTAAAACCTCACGAAATACGACAGTGAGCAATGACAATTAAATCAAAGCGAAACTTTAAGCATACACAGAAAATTACTACCTCCAAGAGATGTCTTTCACAATGACACACTACGAATCTAATATTCCTGGAAGCCTCACTAAGCATGTCATCATTATCTTTATGAGAAAAGGTTATTATTGATTCAATACAAAACACATGCTAACTAGTACGAATACATGGAATATAGAATCAATAAGAAATACTTACTAGTTACGGCTACATGACGGTTAGCCTTCCCCTCATCAATTGCATCGAAAACCTCTTCTGGAGTGGCAACAAACTTTTCCGTGACACCCTTGGAGATTCTCGTTAGGAGGAATTATAGCTTACTTTCACGTAAGGAACTCGGTCTTTATCCTCATGCACCGGTAGGTTTGTCTTCGAAACTGAATCAAGATATAAATTAGATCGAAAAATTTACCATCAAGCAGATCACGGATTTTTTCCATGTATATTTCAAAGTAAGAAACCTGAAGATAAGAACAGCATCACAAACATTACCTTAATATGGAACTCCAAGTTTTCGTCCATTTGGTATATATGGTTGAATATATCGTGAACTATCCGCGGAATAACACCTTGAAAGACTGGGTCACCTAAAATACCCTGAAGAGAAACAATCAGAAAGCAGAATGTCATACCTCCATAGTAAAAGTCTTTCCACTCGAAGTTTGACCATAGGCGAATATTGTCCCATTATATCCGTTCAGCACATCTGCAACAATGGGCTTGGCCACAACTTCATACACCTCTAACTGAGATGCCTTCGGCTGAACTACATGATCGAAGCTATAGTTTTTACCCTAGATAGAAGAGTTGTCACAAACTAAAAACCATCAAACATACCCCAAGAGATACAGTTGTGTTTCCATCACCGGGGAATGACACCACGAACTTGCTGTCATTTGCTTTCTCTTGTTCATTAAGTGGCCTCACGCGGCAGATAACTTTAATGCTCTCTGACATAGTCAGCAGGAGAAATCAACAAGCAGCTTTAGGACCTCGCGCTAATATGTAACTGATACCAATGACTTCCGCCATTTTCTCGATAGTCTAAACTAACTAATCTATTGAACGATACTTTTGTTAAGAAATAAATTCTCAGTCTTGATTTCTTCACTTAAACGTACAATATGCAAAATAAAATTAAAACATTCTTCACATACTTTTTGATAAAAATTCACTCAACTTCGAAATGGGGGTGAATTTCTACCAAATTCCTACTGAATTTCATCTCTTGTGGTGTAAACCTCAGTGCTATCATTTGCACAATCCATGAAGATGACTAGTGATTTCCAGTAAAGGCAGGCAGGAAGAGGAAACATGAGAATAGTGACTTGTTATCGCAGTCATCAACCATCACAAGGTGGTTACCCATCGTACATCCTACTGTCCAAGGTAAGACGTCGAACTTCACTCTGATGACAGATTCATCTCTTTTCAGGAGAAGGAAGGGTTGTGTGAGATAAACACGAAGGCCAAGTCCATGAACGACCTCGGTCTCTTTTCCAAGCAAAATCACATGAGATTGTAGCGGTAGGCGATTCCCCAGAATTATTGGCCACATCATTCATCACTGAACATTTGATGCTGACCCTCACTGTTTAAGTCATCCTATTTAGCTGAAAACTTCTGGTCAAGCATCCACGCTAATTCGTACGCTGCCATGTCACGTTCCCTAGCTAGTTAAGCAACCATCTCGCACTCCGATTTGGTCCCGAAATATAACTTGTAATTTGGACAATCAATTTTGGTGTTTTGCTTTGCCTTTGGGTCTACGCAGAACGAATACTATAGAAGTGGTGGGTATTAGATCTTGAGTTAGTATGCTTCGTACTAACCGTGAACGTCAGTACCGTTAGCCTCTAAACTGGTGAGCCCTGCTGCGAACTTCATTTTTGCTGAATACACAGACAAATCCAGTGAGTTCGTTCCATTTTATATTTGTTCTTGTACCATTTCCAAACTATATATATTCCGCCATGAGTGATCATACCCCTGAGGTCATCCATATTTGCTCAACTGCCAAAAGCTATTCAGCTCGTGCCATTTTGGCCAGATAATGCTGAATCATGGTTTCAGATAGCCAAGTCTGATTTTAGTGAACGTAGGTTAACTGACAAACGTTCACAGTTCTTTGCATCTGTCCACGCCCTACCGCGAAAAATTA